AAATAGAACCTAAATACTAAATCGTATTACTACTTTCTGCTCTTAAAAAAAAATAGGAAAAGAAAAAAAAGAAAAAAGAAATAAAAATAAGAGATTATTTTTTTTTTACTTACAACTTCTGCTTCACCTAATATCCTTATACTACTCCTTCAACTAAAAACTATTACTTTTTCAGGAACAATTATATCATCAGTTTGGTATTGCACAATTGAAAACATGTAAGGAGTATATGTTTTGTTTTGTTTTTTCTGTAACTGACATGATCAATCAATCTGTAACCTTGACTAATTATCTTTCAGAAGATCCAGTGTAATCAAAAATTCAAGATCAAACTGAGATAGGCAAAATTTCTTAGAAAAATCAAAAAAAAAAAAAACATGTTTGAGAAAAAAGAAGTAGGAAATTAAAAAGATAATGAAAAGACTGATGACTTTTTTATTTTTGTTTCTCTAAAATCTTGAATCTCTTGAGAGTTTTTGAAGTATATTTTTTCTTGTCAGTTTTTTTCCTAGAAAGATGTTTTTGTCATAGATCTTTTAAGTAGGTTTCTTATATTTAGTTATCAAAATAAATAAGAAAGGTGTTTTAAAAAAAAAATAAAACAAGTAATAGTTTCTGCTTACTCTGTTGATTAGAAAACCAGTGTTATTAGGAAATATTATAAATTTTATTATCATAAAAACATAAAATCTTTTGAGAATATTTGTTTTTTGAAAGAGTTTTAAATTTTATATTTATAATATATATTTTTATTTTTATATTTTTATATTTTATTTATATAATAAAGAATAACTATTTAAAGATAATCTTTTTATTTTTATAACAACTCAGATTATATTTCTATTTTTGAGTTAATAAAATAATTATTTCTCTTAAACTTGTATTTTTTTGTAATTTTTTGGTTTAACTTAATACAATTTATTGTTTAAGCTATTATAATATATTTAAACTTTTATACTATTGCTATTTTAGAATATAAATTAATCTTATTTAATAATTATCATTTCCAATAGTACTGGTTTTTTTTTAGATCAATCTGATTATTCTAATTAATCATTTTTTAAAGATAAGCCTGCTTTCAAGTAAAACTTAAATATATCTAATAATATATATTCTAATAAATAATATATTAATTATATTAAAATATACAATATGTTGCAAAAAAATAACAATTATATTTTTATTTGTAACTTAATAAAAATTATTTAAAAAATTAAAAATAAATTTTAATATAAATAAATTAATATTATAAAATAATTTTACTTAAATTACTTTTTTAATTATTTTATTATTTAATTTGATATTTTAATTATTAATAAAAATTTTATATTATACTTTTTTAATTTCTATTTAATTGCTATTTAAAAAAAAGTAATATATATATTTATTTATTTAATTTTTACTTTTTAAATAAAAGATTTTAAAAGTAAAATAAAACAACAAATTAATAAATTAAATAATTTTTTAAGAAAATATTATATAATAAATCTTTAATTAAAAATTGTAAAAATTTCAATTATGAAAAAAATTTTTTTTTTTGCAACATACTATATATATACGTATATATATATATATATATTATTTACAAAAATTTTTTCAATTATTTTTTTCAAATAAATACTTTTGAATCTGTTTAATTTGATTTTTTAAAAATTATGCTTTAACATTTGTTGAATAAGTTCATATATCAACGTTATCTGAATTATATTCTTTACTTTGAATAAATTCATATTGGAGATGTTTTAATTGATCTGAGTTATATTTTTTAACTAAGATTACCATACACATTTTCAATATAATTTTAATGTTTACTTTTAATAAAAAGAAATGTGGATATGGCCTTTTATTTTTTTTTTTCCTATTTTTAAAATTTAAATAATTAAAAATGGTTTGTATTATTAGCTCTGCCTATTGGAGTAACATTTCAACAATATCAAAAATAATGCAATTATTAGATTAGGTAACCAATATTCATAGTTAAGAAAATGCGAGACAACTTATGTGCTGGGCGATTGTTCTTCACCTTTTTCTGATGGTGGTAATATGATGGTTTCCTTAGGATTGACATACTCATCATAAGGATTCTTTTCTATGAAAGGCCTTTTCCCCAATAACGTTATCATATCCTCCCTATTTAATACCTCTTTGGACAACAGCAGTTGTGCTACTTTTTCTACTTCTTGCCTTTTTTCTGTTAACAATTTCGTGGTCCGTACATATGCCAATTCAACCAGTTTGCGAACTTCAACATCAATCATTTTGGCCGTCTCTTCGGAGTATGGCTTTTGAAATTGGGGTTCCGACTCATTTGGATTATGGAATGATAAGGGCCCTACGCTTGGATTCATACCATAAACAGAAACCTGTGCATAAGCCATTTTTGTGACTTTCTGTAAATCATCTTGAGCTCCGGTAGTCACAATATTAAAGAATATTTGTTCTGAGACTCGCCCGCCTAATGTCATGCACATACGATCTAATAATTGCGCGGTAGAATATAAATATTGATCTTTTGGTAGGTATTGAGCATACCCGAGTGCGCCAATTCCTCTAGGAATTATAGAAACCTTTAATAATGGGTCGGCGTGCTCAAGGAACCAACCGGCTACTGCGTGTCCGGCCTCATGATATGCCACTGTTTTCTTTTCCTCAGGTGATAGAACGCGTGATTTCTTCTCTAAACCAGCGATTACTCGTTCAATCGCCTGCTCAAAATGTTCCCCAGATACTGAATCCTTTAGATAACGTGCAGCTATCAGAGCAGCCTCATTGCAAACATTAGCTATGTCGGCACCAGAAAAGCCAGGTGTCAATGAAGCTAATTTGTTTGCCAGTCGGTTAATGTCCTCTTTGGTCTTTATGGGTCTCAAATGTACCTTGAAAATTTCGCTTCGACCTTTTATATCAGGTCGGTCAATAGCAATATGACGATCAAACCGTCCTGGTCGCATCAACGCAGCATCTAGCACGTCTGGTCTATTCGTACCGGCCAAAACTACCACATGTTCACTTGAACCAAATCCGTCCATTTCAACTAGTAACTGGTTTAGGGTACTTTCACGTTCATCGTTCCCTCCGAATTGTCCCATCTTTCCGCGTGATTTTCCTATCGCATCAATTTCATCAACAAAAATAATGCATGGTGCATGTTTCTTGGCATTGGAGAACAAATCACGGACCCGGGATGGACCCACACCGACAAACATCTCTACAAACTCTGATCCAGAAACGCTCAGGAATGGTACCTCGGCTTCACCTGCCGTCGCTTTCGCAAGTAAGGTTTTACCGGTACCAGGAGGTCCGCTCAGGATAGCACCTTTCGGGATCTTAGCCCCCAATTTCTCATAAGCTGACGGATCCTTTAAGAATTTGACGAATTCCATGATTTCCTCTTTGGCTTCATCCATGCCCGCCACGTCCTTGAACTTAACCTTGACCTCTGTCTCTTGATTAAATAATTTAGCTTTGGACTTTCCGATACCAAAAATCCCTTGTGAACCTGCCGCACCACCTGCGCGTCTCGTCATATAAAACAACACACCGGCCAAAAGAAGGGTTGGTGCAAAATGTAATAATGTACCCATGATATTTATCTCATCGTGATATGCCACGGGGATACGTTCAGTCGGCGGAATTCCCAATTCTTTTTGTGCCTCATCTATTTTCCGCTCGAATGCTTCGACTGATCCAATGCTAAAGTAATAACTGGTACTCGGTAAAGATGATGCACTCGGGTACATTTGCCCGGTCGCATTGGAATTTAGATAAACTCGAACCTTCTTTCGGTTTACCACGACCAATTTATCGACAAGGCCTTTATCCAAAAATGCCGTTCTGAATTCCTGCCATGTTATCTCCCGTGAATTATCGTTACCACCGGTAACTTTGTAAAGAACGTATGCCGAAAACAAAAGAGGAAGTATTGTATTAGTATTAAGTTGTAAATTGAATTCTCGGGCAGATGGTGGGATTTGTTGTTGCTTATGCGACTTTTGATCATTCTGTGAGCGCGCATTCTCGGTTGTACTTGATTTTTGATTTTGATCTTTCACATTTTTGGCTTTAGCATTTTTATTAAAAAAATTCTCAAATCCTCTTGGTACTTTAAGCATTTCATTTATATCTTCCTTGTGTTTTTTCTTACTGTTTGCATTTGTTCCCCCCTCACCGCCACCATCTTCTTTGTTATCTTCATTAACAGGCCGCTTTGACGAATCAACTTCCGTCGCATATGCCCTAAGTAAATTCCTTCGGTTTATTCCACCTATATTATTCTGTATAATTCCTCTCGAAGTATTTATGACAGATTTCGAAATTTTGGCAGTGAGCGCGGCGTATATTCTATTACTATTTGTGCTTCGGTTGACTGCACCTGGAATATTAACTAACTTATGAGCCTTCATTATGTATAATCTAGTTGCACCGTTCATTTTAATATTCGATGAAAATGCTTGTATGTACGTGCGTATTTTCACCGTTAACCAGTATCATCTATTCCGGCCGGCATCAAGGAATATAATTTCGCGTAATTCTGGATTGATCAATTTTAGATTAATAATATTACGTAATACGCATTACAAATAATTTTTTATTAATAATCGTATTTTGCTGATACAAAAGTTTTTGAAACAAATATGGCAATTAAATTATAATAATTTGTATTTTTTTAAAAAGATATTAGAATTCCAATTAACATAGTATTTTAAAACCATTATCTCTAATTTTTTTAATATTGATAATAATTATAATAGAATAAAATACTTTAAAAATAAAAATACTATAAATAAAATGGTTTTATTTATTTTTATAATTAATTTTATAATTTTATTGATTTTTTTATTAATTTTATTTATAAATTTTATTTTATTTGAATTAATAATAATAATTTTAATAATAATTTATAAATATATACAGTTTTAATAAAAAAAACTAGAATTGGATTTTTTTATAATTTAATAATTTTATTGTAAAATATAAATTTAAAGTTTTTTAATAATAAATCAAAAAATTTTATTATACTGTATATAAAAAATTTTATTAAATTTATATAATTTTTTGTTTTGTAAAATTGTTTAATTTTATATACAGTATTTTTATTTAACAAAATAATATATTAAGATAATTTAAAAAAATAAAATAAAATAAAATAAAATAAAATAAAATAAAAATAAAATATTATAAAATTTAATTATTTTATAGCAATATATTTTTAATTTATTTAAATAATTATATTATATAATAAAAAAGAGATTTTAAAATTAATATATTATTTAAATGGTAATATATCAAATTATATAATTAATAAAAATAAATAAATATTTTAAATTATAATTTTAAATTATTATAAATTATTAAATTTAAAGATTATAAATTAAATAAATCATAATTTCAATATATTTTAATAAATATTTTAAAAATTTAATTAATTTTAAGTTAATATCAAAATAATATTAATTTATAATAAATTTAATATCAAAATAATATTAATATTTATTATACGTATAAGCATTAATAATATATAATATAAAAAAATTTTTAAATATCGTATAATATATTTAAAAAAAAATCTTATTAATTTTATATTATTAAATAAATAAATATAAATAATAATTTTTGTTGATCACTAATGTATGTAATTAAAGATAAATTAAACATTTTTAATGATTCATATGTAATCGACAATCACGTGATCAGAGTCTAATTGAAACCGCAGAAAGGGAACACAGCAATTCACTTTTGTTCTACAAATTTTTGCAAATGAACACCGACAAGACTCTGTGGACAAAATGAAAGCATATCATAGTGCCACTGATTTATTTGCCAATAGTTCTAGCGATTTGGATGACAATATTTCCTCAGATCCAGATAATATGCTAGCAGAAATGCCTTATCCCACAGGCACAGGTTCTAATCGCACGTCGACCGTGATAACTAGTCCTGCACCCTCTTATATCGCACATCTTCCTTCAAAATTAAAATCCTTTTTCAGAATAAACAGCTCTCAACACAAAAAAGATGCAACGATCGGTTCAATGAGTGGACGCGGTAATACTCGTGGTGGAATAAGCTCATCTTCCTCTTCAACATCGGTTATTTCAAATGATAGTGAGAAGATTGTCACTGGCTGCACTCAAGGTGGAATATTGAAACATAAGACAATCGGACCGTGGTTTTTGAAAGATCAAAGTAATAATCAAAAATTGCGACGAGTAGCTTCAGCCCCCAACACAAAAACATTGGATGGTTCACAAAAAGTATACAAAGAGAATTATTATGAATCCAATAACAATGTGTCGTTGTCTGTTCCAGATAGACCTTTTCCTAGAATGAAGCGTTCTGAAACTTTTAGACGGACATATTCCTCAAATTCGATCAAGGTCAAGAGAGTTGAGGTAGGACCAGATAGTTTTCAGAAAATTAAATTATTAGGAAAAGGCGACGTGGGTAAGGTTTATCTAGTGAGGGAGAAAAAAACAAATAAACTCTATGCCATGAAAGGTAATCATATTTCTAATTTTTTGAAGATTCATTTTTGTTGATTATTAATATAAAATATACTTTTGTCAATTTTCCGGTTTTCATGAAGTTTTATCGAAAAAGGAAATGATTAAGCGAAATAAGATCAAGCGGGCACTTGCCGAACAGGTAAGGATAAATTATAATTTAAATTTTTGAATTGAATTGGTAAATTTATTATTATACTATTAGGAAATATTGGCCACATCAAATCACCCTTTTATTGTTACTTTATACCATTCCTTCCAAAGCGAAGATTATTTATATTTATGTATGGAATATTGCATGGGGGGTGAATTCTTTCGCGGTTAGTACGAATATTGCTGATTCAATTAGGAAACTTTTTGTTTTGATTTAATTAAACAATCGCATCTTTTTAACTTAGCTTTACAGACGCGACCGGGGAAAAGTCTTCAAGAAGAAGATGCGAAATTTTATGCAGCAGAAGTCATTGCCGCGTTGGAATATTTACATCTAATGGGTTTTATTTATCGAGATTTAAAGCCCGAAAGTATGTTGATTATAGTTGAAATCTTTTTTATCTTCATATATTTAAAGAATAATGATTTTATAACTTTACACAGACATATTATTACATCAGTCAGGGCATATCATGCTTTCAGGTGAACTTTTAAGCACGGTATACGTCAAGTACATATGTTCGATGCGAATTAACAGATATTTATTTATTTATTTACAATATCAAAGACTTTGATCTTTCCAAACAATCTCATCCTGCAAATATGCCAGGCATTGTTAAAAATAGCTCGGGAAATGCGGTAGGTAATGAGATTAATGAGGTTGACGTAATAATATACAAAAAAATAACCGCTTACATATACCTTATGTAGCCCCCTTCAATAGATACTAAATCCTGCATAGCAAATCTCAGAACCAATTCTTTCGTCGGTACAGAAGGTATATATATAATAAATTAGCTTAAGAGTCATGTCATCAAATTAATATATCATTCACTGTTCATTTGCAGAGTACATTGCTCCTGAAGGTACTTATTCATATAAATATTCAATTCCCTGGAATTTTTTTTCGTTGACATTTGCTTTTCAATAATCTTTGTTTGTAGTAATTAAGGGCTGTGGGCACACGAGTGCAGTTGATTGGTGGACGCTTGGAATTTTAATATACGAAATGCTGGTAAATATAACAGTCAGAACGTTGAATCAAGACTTGATGATTCTAATAGAAGTTTCATAATTATAGTACGGCTATACCCCATTTAAAGGTCCAAATAGAAATGCTACATTTTCAAATATATTAAGAAATGAAGTACATTTTCAGGAAACAAACGGTGCTCAAGCCATCTCAGGGTAATTATGATAATGTCAAATTTCGAACATCAATGCCAGTTAATATTGAATTTATTGTTTTTTTTTTACACGCGATAGCCTGTGTAAATCTCTCATTCGAAAGTTACTCTGCAAAGACGAAAATCGGCGTCTTGGATCTAAAGCTGGTGCATCAGATGTTAAAGCTCATCCTTTTTTTAAGAACACTCAGTGGGCTTTACTTAGGCACGCAACTCCACCAATTACTCCACAGCAGAGTTATGGTGCCGATGCAGTGAACTTTCGAAACATTCATGAAAGTGTTAGCTTAGATATGGAAGGCGAAAAAATCGTTGAATTTTCCGAAAAAAATCCTTTCGAAGAATTTAACAGTGGTAAATATTTAATTTTGCTATGAATTCTATATATTAATTAAAACTTTAACGAAATGCCTCATCTCTTGCTAGTAACGTTACATCACGACGGTGACGATGAAGAAATATAGATGATTTACATCTTTGAATAAAAGTAAACTCATGAATTATTTTAAAGATTATTTAGCTTAGATTTTTTTAGGTTTCCATTTCATGCTGGGCGTCATGTCTTGCAGCCTATAATACATGTTTAATTATTATGATTTAGAAAGTTATTCTTGATGTTCTCTTGGTTATGCACTCGGCATTAAATTACCACCTCATTTCTTAAAGACTTTTTTTTTAGATTTTTTTATTTATTTCATGGGATGGCGTCATTTAATAAACCCTTCAATGTATTTGGTTTTTTTCTTTTTTTTTTTTTTCCTGAACTTTATTTATCACCAAGTGCTTTTCTACATTTTTGATATTAAATTTGTTTGATATTCAACTTTGTATATCCTAATATTTCATAATAGATCTAATAAATGATTAAGAATCAATAATTTAATCAAGACGTGCAGTATATTGATTTAAAGTCATTTAGTATCGTGCTTTAAGATTATATACATATTAATTTTTGTATTCAAATATTTTTTTATTTGCAAAAAATCAATTTATAACTTAATATCAAAAAAGATTTACTTTATATACATGTACGTAATTTAAAATTATTATTAGTATTATTATTAGTATTATTATTAGTATTAAGTTAATTATTAGATCAATGTTGAAAATAGATCATTTGGTTATACAGTATATCAAATAATAATTAATTAATATATTGTATATTCAAAAAAAAACGTTTCAAGATCAAGCCGTGATATTATTTAATAAAATTATTCTATTGTAAGACTTGTCATATTCATTTAAGACATTTGCTTAGAGTAGTGATAGTACTGTAAAATTGAAAATATTCAAAAATTTTTACTTTATCATTAATTATAATTTTTAATAATTAGATGAAAATTAAAAAAGTGATTAATAATTAATTTAAAAGTTATTTGAAATTAATTTATTTTTATATATATTAAATATTTATTTAATTAATTTTAATATACTATTTTATTATTTTATATACTGTATAACGATAATGAAATATTTTAAAATTATCTTATTTCATTTTTTCGATGGTGTTTAATATAACTAATTTTTTTATTAAAAAAGTTTGTTTTTTAAATAAAAAATTTGATTTTACTATTTTAAAAATTATATTTTCTATTAAAAGAAAATATACTAAATCTATAAAGAAAAGAAAGTAAATTGTAAATTTATGGTTTTTTAAAATATTCAGTCTATATAATTAACTACTGTAAATGAAATAATAATCATTTTAAGTGGTTTTTTATCAAATTTATATAAATAATTGTTGTATATCGTAATAAAACTTTGTATCTTATTTTAATTTGATGAATAGTACAATTTTGAATTAAAATTATTTTGTTAGGGTAAAGATAATTGATCAATCTAAAGTACAAATGTAATTTTGAGGTATCCATCAAATTTCCAAAGTAGGAAAGAAGCAAATGGAAATTAGATATTGTAAAATAAGTGCTTATGTATAATATTATGATACAATGGTTAAGGAAAGTCGGAAATTGTTATGGCATGTCTAATATAAACTTCGAGATGCATCTTTAATTTGATACGACCTCAACACGAGTTCCTTGAATTGGTATTCGTTCAAAATCTTGTGAAGGCTGTAGAACTTCATTTTCGAAATCCATAGGCTTCCTCCTTACCAACAGCACATCCTTTAATTCGTGCACCATCCGTTCCGAGTCCATTCTTGTTGCCCTTGATTTCGCCTATATAAATTATTTTGGATTAGTACACGTATTAAATTAAAATATATGCTATCGATTTACTTACCTCCTCATCTCTTTTAACCTTTTGAATAGCAATCCTTTCCTCTCTCGTTAGTTTCTATTTCGGATAAATATTAGTTTGAATTCTTTTATAGTTATTTTAAGATAAGATTTTTTCTAACTTCTACATACCTTCGTTGTTTGTTCAGTTATCGCTTCTGCTACAAAGACTTGTTCTTGAACATCTAAAGGTTCATCTTTCTGTGACCAATCGATAGTGAGCGTTTTCTCGGAAGTATTTTCATCAGAATCATTTTCGCCTTTTAGTGTTTCAGCATCCTCATCAAGAGATTGAATACTAGAACTTAAATTAGAATCAACAGACATTGGCTCTGTTATATCTTTCAACGCTTTCTTTCCGTCCTCCCATTCTTGAAACATATAGGTAAAGTCTCTGGTTATGGATTCGTATTGATTCAACAGCTGTTCTCTATGTTTTTCAGCCACAAGTCCTATCCAAAATAAAATAGATTTGTGAGCATAATGTGCCACTTTCTACTATTAGGTGTAATATAGTATATGAACAAATTATACCATCATTTCCAAAGTATTTGCGGGCATCCTCATTACATATGTATACTTTCGCTTGAACACCACGAATGTGTTGCTCGATAGAAGCTAAACGATGAAGGTAGGCCTTAAGTTTTTTGTTCGTAATTACTGGTGCTGTTGGCTGTGACATAAAGTCTTGTTTTGGTGTCGGTGTTACGGTGGTATCTATTATGATATTAATAGTTTTGTAAGAACACACACGCACATTGATCAAGTGCTGAAGTTTTTTGAGTTATACTTACGTAATTCACTTGCTAAAGCGACATTAACCCTGTTTAAATATTCACTCGTAATAACTCCTATTTCATCTAAATGACCATTAACTGCTGCCCAATGATATTCATAGTCTCTTCGATGAGAATCCCTTCCTGGTGTCATCACATCCAGCGCAAGGAAATGACACAAACATTCTCTTCGTTTTGAGTGCATCCTCTGAAAAATTTGCTTCAAATACTCAAGAGAATATTTCTCCTTTTCATCATCCACGTTCCATTCATCACCTTCAGTATCTGGACAAGGAGTGATGTTGTACATATTGTACATAATGTCCAAATTGATTTTTGAAATTTCCGGTTGCATTGCCACTATGGCTTCACAATAACTCGTGAATGCCTCCTGAAGTATATTATAGATGGCTTCTCGTAACGCATTACAACGTCGATCCTTGGAACTCTGTTCGATGCGAGATATCGGAGAAAGAGGCATGGACCTATTGGTAAATTATTAAAGTTGAGGAACAACTATATAAAGAAATTTGATATTCGCAGATATTATATATTTATGGAATCAAAGGATACAATCTATAGCCACGCGATACTAGTTCTATTTCTTGAATCATTATCAACGCTTTGTTAACCTTAAGATCGAAAGTTTGACAATTGTAAACGAGTGTCTCCAAAAAATGTAATGCTGAATTGTGGAGATTTTTCATAACTTTTCGACGCTAATAATTAAATTATTTAGGAATCAGTGATGATGCACATAAATACGGTGAATTAGAACTTCCTTTCTTACCATGCGACGATATAAGAAGAATGAGGCTAATAGAGCTAATATAAGTGCAATAGGTAACTGCATCATCTTTGTACCAATATCTTTTGGCTCAGCATCACGTAACAACCATGTCAAGAGGACCACTAACACGCCAATCAAAGAACTTAGTAGGATCTCAAAATTACGTCGCGAAATTCCTCCGAAATATAATCCTGCTTCCCGAGCATTGATCGGATTTGGCTTTTTGCTGTCGTAAAAATATATCGATAGGGTATCATTTAAAAGGTGCGAGGTACATAGTAAGTACTTGAAACGTTCTTCAAATGCGTTCTCTTCTTGTAACGGAAGCGCCGTTGATAAGGTTTCCTGTTAGGAAGCTTGAGATTAGTAACAATCATAATACTTTCTTACGTTGATTTCCAAATGGCAAACATACTTGAAGGTAATCAAGAATTTCACGTGAGAAGTGTGCAAGCCAATGTTGAGAGTTTTCGTCATTTTGTGAGGCTCGTCGTTCTAATTCATGCATCTCTGGTTGTTTGGTTAGCTCTTCCTTACTACCAATTTCTAAAGATTATGGTTGCATTAAATTACGTAAATAAAAAATAATAAAAATAAAGAGTAAACATTAAAGTTTTATTCGTCCTACCGCTAAGATACTCGGCAAAGGGTGTATCTTCATAAACTAAGGCTTCAGCCATATATGTATATGTTTAAAAGAGAGTTGAGTATTGTTAAGTAGAAGTTTTCATGAGATCAAGGGATTTCGATGTAGTGTTTGGAAAAGAACATATGACAGCTCATTTGCGGATCAGAAACTAAAACCGGATTGGTTACATATCAAGTCATGCATTGTAGTACAATTAGAAAAAACTGTACGTATGCACAAATCAAGAGAATCAAAAAGTACTATTAATTACCCTCCTACTGCATGTGTCTCGTCCTCATTATTAAAAATGATCGTTTTAGGATCATATTCCTTCAAACTCGAATTTTACGTGACAATCCTTTGTCGCTTTATCGCGTTCTGCGTGTTTTCTATACTTCGTTTCGATTATTTAGGCAATTTGATATTTTTCCACTGATAAGGATACGTGTATAACATCACATTGTGTAAACAAATATCAATTTTATTGGTGTCATGCATATCTATTTAATTTAAAACGCAAAAAATTATTTGATGATTATCATATGTACGTACCTAATATTTTTTCGTTCTTTACTCTTGACACGGTTTCTTTTTTCATACATTTTACAATTTTTTCCTATTTCGTTCCCATATTTGTGATCCAATTGCAACAATAGTATTATTAGTGATGATGATTTTTTTCTTTAAGGAATCTCGACTTTCTAATAATTAGCTAGAAAGGAAAACAGAACAGACAGGGATGACTCGGGGTCAGGTCCGGCGTTGGCCTATCAGGATTAAAATTGGCTGAAAGTGGAATAGGGAGAAATTTTATAAAAATTAAAAAATTATGAATTATGTATTTAAATTTTAAAAACAATAATTTCTTTAGTAAGTAGTATGATAAAATATACTACTAATAAAGAATACAAATTCTTTAATCACATTATTTTCAAGGGTCGCTGATAATATTTTTTTTAAGTATAGAGCACATTAAATTTACTTTATAATTTAAGATCGACATGACATATGATCTATATCAATATTTGATAAATTTATATTTGAAAAAATATCTTATCAATATAGATATATTGTATATATATTCAATTAATTGAAATATATAATATAGTAAATATAGAAATAATTTATAATATTATTCATATAATATCTTGTTTTAAAAAAAATAGTTAAAATAAAAAAACATATTTACTTTATTAATTTTTTTTTTTTCGGGTGAAAGATGCTTTGTGCATATGCATTTTATTTAGTAGTTTATATCCAATTACAGATACACTAAGGTCCATTTAAGTTAACCTCACTTCTACACCTATAGACTTACCCAGTTATACCAATTGAACACCTTGAAGATGGATCCGTACCCTAGGTGGGATCTTTAGGGGATAGAAAATCCTATCACTAGTTTATAAACTATCTAACCTAATCTAGATCCTGTCTCGACTGCATCCGTCGTGGGAGAGGCACAGTTATTACCTTTCAGGGGTATGATTGTAGAACACCCAGATATCCCCATATATATAAAAAAAATATTTTTTTATTACAATTTATATATAAATATATATAGAATTTTTTAAAAAATTTTTAATCGACTTTTTTTAGTTTTAAAATCAAGTTTTAAAATAAATTTATTAATAAAGTATTAAAAAAACTTATTTTTTTTTATTCTAAAAATATATTTTTAAAATTTTATAACAAATGTATTAAATTCTTCTTGTAACTTAAAAGCAAACATATATAAAGTAGATATAGGGCCTTAATGCAAAAAGATATTCATAACTTAACTATTTTCAATACTATTCTACCTGCTGAACATTAAGTTATATTTGTGAAGCAAACATTTCAGTTCTACTTATGACTTGAAGACAAACCTGTATAAAGTGGCTACAGCATCTTTATGTAATTATATATTTAAATATCTTTGAGTTAACTAGATACTATTTAAGGTTATAATATAGGTTTTGAATTTCTTTTTATTGTATTTTTTTGAGTAATGTCCAGAAGTATAGAGATATAACTATTTTATAAGTCTTATATTAAATTCTTCTTTGCAAAAAAGATGTACTGTATATTATGCTAATAATGATTGTAATATTGATTCACAGGTCTAAAGTTATAATTAATAAAAATAAAGCATAGTAATATTTTTTTCTTAAAAAAAATTTTATAACAAATATATAAATAAATATTTATTTATAATAAAAATACTTGTTTCAAAAACTTTTTAAACAAGTTGTATATTAAAATAAATATAATAAAAAATTTTTTATATAGGTAATAAAAGAAGAATATTATAAATTATTTTTTTTAATTAATCCTGTATTATTTCTTTTACAAAAAAAATAAATTCCTAAACCATAAACTTTGTTAATTATAATAGTTTAAGCTTTTTTATTAGCTTAAAATTCTAATTCTTTTATTAAATTACTATTATATAATTTTTTTACAAAATCAAAAATACAATATTAAAGATTTTTATATCCAACAGATCTTATTGTACTTAATAATAATAAATTTTTAATTTATTGTTTTTTTTTATATATAAATATTTACTTTGTGATTGTATTTAATAAATAAAATTGTTTTTTATATAAAAATATATATTTATGTTAATTGTTGATATAATAACCTGATTTGGATTTAATATTGAAGAAAGTTTTTGTTTTTTTTTTTTTTTTTAATCCCGCAATCAGGTTGGTGTCGTTTATTTATTTAATCATAAAAAACTATTACAAGTTGAGAACCTATGTAAAGTATAAATTTTCTCGACCCAACTCATCCGTCTTTAGCCGAAGCCTCTAGATGCGATTTATAGGGATGATAATGTGTTCCCCTAGTGGATGAAATTAAGATTCCAGATTTCCAGCAGGATCAAAACCTGCAGATCACCTCTGCAGTCACGACTATAAACCCAAATTGTGTCACCCCCTCTTGTAGTAACTAC